TGGTGACGTGAAATGATGGTACTTGTGTGTGTGCGGGGCCTAATGAGGTCGAGAGGTGGAGGAGAGAGTATGAGTCGCCGATGTTAGTGACGTGAGATGATGGTACTTGTGTGTGTGCGTGGCTAATTAGGTCGAGAGGTGGATGAGAGAATCTGAGTCACCGATGTTGGTGATGTGAGATGATGACACTTGTGTGTGTGCGTGGCCTAATGAGGTCAAGAGGTGGAGGAGTGAGTATGAGTTGCCGATGTTGATGGCGTGAGATGATGGTACTTGTGTGCGTGCGTAGCCTAATTAGGTCGAGAAGTGGATGAGAGAATATGAGCCACCGATGTTAGTGATGTGAAATGATGGTACTTGTGTGTGTGCGTGGCCTAATGAGGTCGGGAGGTGGAGGAGAGAGTATGAGTCGCCGATGTTGGTGGCGTGAGATGATGGTACTTGTGTGTGTGCGTGGCCTAATTAAGTCGAGAGGTGGAGGAGAGAATATGAGTCGTCGATGTTGGTGACGTGAAATGATGGTACTTATGTGTGTGCGTGGCCTAATTAGGTCGAGAGGTGGAGGAGAGAATATGAGTCGCTGATGTTGGTGACGTGAAATGATGGTACTTGTGTGTGTGCGTGGCCTCGTGAGGTCGAGAGGTGGAGGAGAGAGTATGAGTCGTCGATATTGGTGACGTAAGCTAATGGTACTTGTGTGTGTGGGTGGCTTAGTAAGGTTGTGAAGTAGCGTGGTGAGTGTGGGTACCCGATGTTGATGATGTGAGGTATTGGATTGTTGTTGTGTGTGTGCTATTGATAGCCAGAACTGTTCTTTTGGGGTAAGATCTTGATGGCCAGTTGTAGGGGAATTCTATAGTTTGTTTTGGGTTGGGTAGGATAATTGCATATAGACATTTCTGAATTTCTTGTCACTGCATACTACACCTGCAATTTGATTTTTATCTTATTGAGTTATGTGAACTCACTTCTCATCATTAACAGATGGAGTAGGAACGGAGCCGGGATTCGAGATGCTGGTAACGGAGCCCAGTCTATAGTGCCATATGGCACAAGTTTTAGTTGTGGCGTATGGTAGTGTGTAAAAGTTGTTTTAGTATGGATATTGATTTCTGGAAATGCATGATATTGTGTTGTTATGTGATGTAGAGGTAGAATTGTATGTACATTTGGTTTGGAATAATGAGCAGTGGACAAGTTTCTCTTATGCGTGATTGGAATGACATGAGATTTGCGTGTCGAATCGTAAGAGTGTTTTATCTTATGCCGTTAAGGAAAAAAAAAAGGAGTGTTACAATTAATTCTATATCTTCCATCTTATCATAATAAAAGTATTAAATATTAGTTACTTCTAAAAAAATAAAGTAAAAAATAGGTATTAAAAAAGTATACCTCTCAAATTTATTTATTTATTTGTGTTTTTAACCGTCTTTTAATGTTCAAAATAATTGACTTGTGTAGAGTCACACTCACATATTTAAGATTTATTATATTTTATTCTTGATATGTTGAAAAACAAAATAGAAAGACGCAACTTCTATGTAATTCTAAATAAAATACATCGGTTATTTACTTTTTTAATAATAATAGTTATTTTTAAAATTTTAATTAAAATTTTTATATAATTTAAAATCAAGTAATTATATTTGTAAAGTTAATATGTTAACACTTTGTATCTTCCATCTTATCATAATAAAGTATTACATATTAGTTTCTTCTAAAAACTAAAATATCATAATTTATACCTCTCTCTCTCTCTCTCTCTCTCTCTCTCTCACACACACACACACACACACACAAATACATATATATATATATATATTTGTCTTTTTGACACGTATTCCTTTTTTTTTTTTTTTATGTTCAAAACAATTGACTTCTATAGAGTCTCATTCATATAAAAGATTTATTGTATTTTATTGATATGTTGAAAAATACAATTAAAAGACGCAACTTCTGTGCAACTCTAAGTAAAATATTATGTTGTTTACTCTTTTAATAAAATTAAATAGTTGATGATTTTAAAATTTTAAATTATTAATAATTAATTACTTTAAGAATTAAAATTTTATATTTTTTATTCGCATCTTCCTATAAGTCTATCAATTTGAAAGTGTGAATTAAGGACCAATTCACCAGCAAACTCATGCACATATATATTTTCCAGGTTGAATGTGCATATCATTAATTGAATATTATAAGAATATTACACAAATAAAAAATTAATAATTTATATTATAAAACAAAATATTTTATGGTTGAATACATTATATACATCATAAATATAAATATGAATAAATTAAAATATCATATTTATCTCAATATGGTGATATTAATCAACGTAATCACCAACTTTATATATATATATATATATATATATAAGATGATTTGGTGAACAATATTTAGTTAATTATTTATTTAACGGCGGTTATAAATTTATAATTCACGAATGGTGTTGATGCGTGAATAATGGTTGGTTAAGTATGACTTTTCGATCTAAAATACTACTGTTTGGAGTTTTTAGTTGAATACAGACCAGACCCACACGCTTACTCGTCGGTCGTCAAATTGAAATTTTAATGGCGTCCAAAGTCAAAATTTCCTGGTTAGCATATTGAAAAGAAAAAGCGACGTCGTACTTGCCATGTTTGACGTGTTAAGTGTACAAATCACAAAGGAGAAAAAGAATTAGGAAAAACTCCACATATTTCTAACAAATTTACAAAAAGTAAATTTGGAATAGTTTGAAGATTTCCATCACGTAATATTATAATTGAACGTTATACCCATTCGATCTTTAAATAGGATACTTAAATTATTCAAGTAAAAAAAAAATTTATAAAATAATTTTTAGTTCTTTAAAAATGAAATGAAAACATTCATATTACCTTTATAATAAAAATATTATTTTGTTTATCTAAATAACCTTAACTTGTATTTAATCAAGATGTAAAAATTTGTCTCTAATTGCAAATGGTAATAAGGGAGAGTAAGATTTGCAAAAGATTAAGCTTTATGTTTGAATAATTTAAATAAATTGATTAAATAGACTTTTTTTTTATATACAAAATAATGGTAAAATTCAAATTTTACGATCTGAGACAACATTTGTGCCACAACAAGGGGTTCACCAAGGTATAATGGATACGAGCAATATTGAGAAATACCAAAGACTAAACCCTCCGGCCTTCAATGGGGGTTTTGATCCATTGGTAGCAGAAGACTGGATAAAAGAAATGAAAAAATTATTTTAAGTGATAACCGTGACCACTGAACAGAAGGTGCAACTAGCCACATTCATGTTAAGAGAATCAGTAGAGCGTTGGTGGAAATAAAAAAAAAGGAGCTCTGATCCCCCCAATCACTTGGGCGGTGTTCCTGGAAGCTTTCAATGCGAAGTACATTCCAGATTTTCTAAGACAACGAAAAGAAGTAAAATTCACAGAACTTAGACAGGGAAGATTGCCAGTAGCTGAATATGCCGAAAGATACATAGATTGGTCGGCTTACACCCGAAGTTATGATGAATGAGCGAGACGCTAGGGGATTGCAGCC